TATATATATACATGTATGGGTGTGTTAAAATTGATGGGTAGCAATTCTTTTTCAATAAGTACTGTTAGTAATATACCAAAGTGAAAATTTTAAGACAAAATATCACAGTTGAGTTATGTATGAATCTTGTCTTTACCATAATTAAGGTTTTTTATGTATTTAAAAAAAAAAAGAAAAAGAAAAAGGGAAAACTTATCCTATAAGATAATTAAGAGACCAAACTTTATTAATTTTCTTCATGACCCATTATGTTCTGAAAAGAGGGATGCCACCACAAGTCAAAAAAATGAGGGACCAAAAGTGGATTCGATTCTTATGTTCCCATGTGTACATACTTATTTATCTTATTATTTAATTAAACATAGAAATTACCAGGCAATTATTACGTGCATGTTTCCAATTTGGACAGTAAGCAACACCTGTGAATGAACACGGGTTATGTAATTCTGGAGACACAGGCAGAGAGAGACATCCAATTTATACAGCTAGTAACACTTGTGAATAATGGTGAACGCGGTTGTGCTATTTGTGGAGACAAAGACAGGGAGACAGACAAGAAGGGACGATATGTTTATTGTACAGTTTCATCTAAAAACATGAGTTTTAAAAACGTATTTGTCAAGTTGTCATTAGTGATATAACCCTTGTATGAAAGAGTTTTGTGAATTTCGAGAAAAAATAGAGTCTTGCAGATAATAATATTGTGTTCCTTGCTCATCAAGACTTCTACTGTACATGATAAAGCAATTATTGCAGTGGATCAGTATTAATTAGTAGAAACATATATTCATTAGATCAGGGAAGAGTTGTTTCTAGAAATGCATATATAAAATATCTTTGAATTCAACCCTTAAACTCTTAAAACCTGAATTAGATAGCCTAATTAAGAGTATTTTAGAGTTGATTACTCTCTTTAATTGACAGCAAAACCCAGAAGAAAAAGAAGATTAATTAATTGCTGAAAATCTTATACCTTGTGTTTGAGTTTAGGGAGAAACTTCATGATTTTTAGAAGTATATGATGGGTTCATCATATCATACATTTTTTTTTTTCCTTGTTTCTTCTTCAAGTGTCATAGAAAAACATTAATATATAAGCAAATTAAAATAAGAAGAAGAAAAATAATTTTATAAACCATATCAAACATGACTGACATAATCATAGCATATATACCAAATATATATAGAATCATGAAGAAGCTGGCGTTCGGCATTCCAACCAAATTAAGAGATGTATGATGAGATGATAATAAACTATATGCGTGCACATATATGTCATACTACTGCACTCATCCAAAACATACGTCAATTGTTTTCTGTATTTATTAAAAAGACCATGTATATATATATGCCAGCCATGATTGTCTGCTTTCTACCTAAAACCCCTCAAGAATAATTAATTTGTCTTCTATATCCTGGTGTTTATTTATCAATTAAACATTCTTATAACTATAAATCTCGAAAACAAAAGATGCCTGAACATTTTTGCAGAAAGAAAGTTGAAAAAGAAAAAAAAAAAGAAAGATTATGTATTAATTTGAAGGTAGACAAAAGCATACCGGGAAGCTGCCATGGCTCACACGTATGCAGATCAATTTCGACCAAAGTACCCTTCAAAGACTCCTCATTAGCAATCTTTTTGTAGAGATAATGGCAGACCAGCTCCTCGTCGCTCGGGTAGAACCTAAATCCAGGAGGCAGTGTAGCTTCAATGTCTCGCAGCCCCATCTTTCTTCCTTTTATATATATGTAAGGAGGAGAGGAAAAGAAAACTAAGGAAGAATGTTTTTTGAGGTAGTAGAAATTAAGAATATGTTATAGCTGCTAGAGAGATGTTGATGAAAATTAAGAAGCTTTGATGGTTCTTTTTGTAAGAGAGAATCAGATCTGAAATATTTTGTAGAAGAGGGAGGTGGGTGTGTATTTATATAGGGAAGGGAAGACAATAGTGCCTTAGCCCGTGAGAATTTCTTAGAATATTAATTCTAGCAAGGACAATGCTTGTGTAAGTAGTTAGTTATAGTGGGAAGTTTTAAGAAAAACCAAAGTTACAAGAAATCTATTTGTGGGCCGGTTTCTAGAGCTAGAGGGGTTGGGACGAGCAATTGATGGAAACCTGTATGGACAAAGATCTAAAACTTCGAGAAACCCTCCAAAACACGCCTTTTTATCCCTCATGTTAAAATGGATTAATATGTAAATATAAATATATACAGAGACGTAGTATTAATTAACCATATAGTATCAATTAACTATACATAAACAAAAGTTTAGTCAAGTGTTAATATTTATTAATTTAAAAACTTTAATTTATATAAAAGTTAATATCAAAAAGTTTAAACCCTTATAATATTAATTAATTAACTAATTTTTTACGATATATAAAAAAAATTAATTAACTGTAAGTATATTAATAAACATAAGTTAATTTCCTTACAATATATATGATATACAATGTAATGTGACATTAAATAAAAATATTATATCAAGTATATTTAAAAATTACAAATTTAAACATTTTAGGACATGATCTTCACATGTCTCTATCTAAAGTTTTTCTATTACACGTTTGTTATCATCATCTCATAAGCTAAGGTCTTTGCTCATTATTACTAAGGTTCAATTAATCTTGTTTTCTGGAACTTGTCATTAATTTCTTTTTGGGAACTGTTAGACACATACTGATAAATTACGGATTGGGAGATTTCAGATAATCTGGGACGTACGATTTTTAAGATTTCGTTAAGTTTTCTCCTTAGTACTAGAAAGGAAAAGAAAATTTAAAAAGTAAAGCTTAAAGATTCGGTGTATTTTATGATCAATTATTGTATGAGAAAGTAACACTAGTGCCTTCGATATACAAGGCCTTATGTTCAATGATTAAAGATTTAGTGTTTGAGATTTTACGTCTTAGAATTGCAAGTTCAATTCTTGCATACGGTGTGTTTTTTTCAAATCTTTTAATTAAATTTTATGCTGAATTTAAGGGTTTTATATATGTATATATTCCTGTCTCTTATACACCTCTCGAAGTGTATCAGAGAGATACTGTAATCTAACTTGTACTAAACTATGGTGCGTGGTTCGTGTGATTATTGTATCGGGTTTAAACCCCCTCGTTCTTCACTCCCCTCTCCTTTCTTTCAATTCCCTTGGTACAAAAAAAAAAAAAAATTGCATTGTTCTTCCTCGTGCTCGATTCCTTTTAAATACATTCTTAAGGATTGGAGTACATCTTGTACCTCTAATACAATTTTATTCATTAAAAGGAAAAAAGTGATATAATGAATTAAAAATTGCAAAATCAAATTAAACGATGCCCAGACCCATTTGATTACAACCATTTTGCTTGGCTTGTGGTTCCCGAACTTTGTTACATTAGCCTCAAGTGTATTTTCGGGTTAAACTTGAAACTTGTTGGGATAGTTAGTTAAGCCCAACAATAGGCCCATCAGTCCTAAAGAAAAATATGGGTCAGGCCTTAGCTAAGCCCAAAGCCTACTAAGATCGGTCATCAGATTTACAATAGAGGAGTGCTAGGGGCACCCGCCTCCTGCACTCTCCTGCCAACACTTTCACTTTTATTGGGCCACGTTATTCTGGTTCGGAAGGGCTTGAACGCAAAACCTGAAACAAGCTTACGTGGCCCAATGAAAAGGGCAGTGTTGGCCGTAGAGTGCAAGAGGCGAGTGCACCTAGCACTGCTCTTTACAATAATATATATACCGTATGTCATAAGGTTTCCTAATCTCCTTAGAATAAGAATCCCAATATTCAACATTTCAATTATTCTATGTCTAAATCTTATGTTTCTCTGTCAATGATTTAAATAACTCAGTGGTTACTCATTTCACTAAAAGTAACAAGTCTTAAGTTTGAATCGCATGACATGTAAGTGGGGTGGAATAAGAGATGAAAGATGATTGCTTCTTATTGTACAACCAATATAAAAAAAAAAAAAAAATATTGTGTCTCTCTGGTTCTTTGTTAGTTTCTTCCCAGGGAACGAGAACAGTACTATTAAACTGCGTTCTGCTTAGCTTGTGGAAAGCTTTGAGTCTGATATTTGTTATTCATTGGCAGGTTTTTGGCTTCAACGTGTTTGTTATTTGTTTGTTTGTTTGTTTGTTTATTCCTCTAATTTGGATACTACACTTCCAGGGTTTTTTTATAAATTTTTTTCTTTTCAGAGTTAGGTAATGGTTTCTTCTTTATAGTTGCTTTCTTAATTACTGATCCAAAATAAAGCACAAAACTTTAACTTGCAACCATGAATACTGACTTTTTTTTTGTTGGTAAATTGGTAGTTAGTTGTTTGGTAATACATGAATTTGAATTTGAAATCAAGATTTTTAAATTAGTAAATATCACTTAACTCAACTAAACCCTCATTGATACTGCAGTGATTCTTGTATAACATTAGCTATTTTAATTGTTAAGCATATACTGCTTTGATTATTTAAGAATAGGGGAGTGCTAGCAGCACTACTGTATTTTACAGTATCTTGAATATATGTTATCTGTCATTAAGCCATATTAAGTAGTTTATCAATAAAATTTCAAGTTACACCACTTAGCTGCAACCAAACAAACAGAGGGAATGTTTGAAAAAGAGTGCTAAAGAGAGAATTAATGTTGCTGGTACTACTAATAATAATGCCATCATCTCACATGACTTTCTTCGATTGTTTCAGGGACCATTGTATCCAGGATGGATACCTTATAGATATTTAAAATCACTTTCTAATGGATTTAGTGAAGAGAATTTCATTGGGAAGTTTCAATTTGGCAAAGTGTACCGTGGGATATTGAAACATATCTATAAGGATGATAATGACAGGACATGGAGAGATTTGGAGGTAGTGGTTAAGATATGGGAGGATCCTTTACTTTATAAAGTTTGTCCTGAGACACTCAAGAGAGATTTAGGGTAAGTTGCATAACTTTTGACATAAATATCCCTCACCTTTTTTGAACAATTCTCTTATTACTTCCTAACAATGTTTTTGGATTTGGGTTCTCTAGGGTGAAGAGAGATTACTTACACATTTTTATTCTGTTAAACCCACAAATGTGGTCAGGATGATCGCCTTCTGGTCCGAAAGTGATCAGTGTGCTTTTGTCTATATGATCAAGCCACTGGACGCTCTAAATAATCTCATACCAAAAGGTATGTGGCCTATAGCATTGGTTGAACAAGCATTGTATTGTAAATTGTTATAACATTAACAAACAAGTGTTAATTTTGTTTTCAGAAAGTTTTAGCTGGCTACTAAGAACCATGGTTACTTTCAGATTTGCTTTCGTCCTTGAA